GCCGCAACAAAAATGTTCATTAGCATTGCGAAACAAAAATTATAGCTACAAAGTATCGCGCATTGACATTTGTAAATTTCACCTGAAATGTTGAAACACGAGTGAAAACGTGCGCCAATTAAAGAAAGTAATTGCAAGAATTAGAGAAATTTAACAATTTCTTTTTTACTTGGAAAGTTTTCAAAGAGAGATCGTTATCGTCCAACTAAATGATATCTAACTAAAAATTTCAAACGTCCGCTCAATATATCTCGATCACGCGCAATTTCTTATGTATCGCAATTTCTTGATTGTTCAACGAGTTTTCACGTAAGATTACTAATGTGTTATCAATTATTCCAACGCTATCGTTTATTCTGTCTACGATCGTATTGACACGATCACGGCAAACAGCAACGACGTAGCTCACTTGCCGGAAATAAAACAATTTGCGAGGAACATGTGGTATGCAAACGCACACGGGAGTATCGAGTTGTTTATTCCTCTAGCCTGTGAATCATCTAGACAGAGATGATAGTTCAACGACCACGAATTACAATTTCTAAAATTCCTTTCAAAATTTCATTACCGAATCGCAATTATTCTCAATTCTCTACCTTACTTTCCTCCGCGGCCGAACTTTATTTAAAACAATTTGATAATTGGCAATTTGAAACGTAATCATTTCCGTTCCTAGATTTCTCTTCCTGCTGCTTAATTGGTAAATTAAATATGAAAATTGTACAAGATTGAGCAAGAATGCATGTCGGAAGGTATATTGATTGGGCTTGATTAATTTGATCATTCTATAAGTTCCATTAATCAGAGGCTAATTAAGTGTCCGTCAAATTCCATGAACGATTGGCCTTATGCAAAAGATTTCCAAGATTCATTAATTAAGCAAATTCGTAAAAGCAAAAGAAAATCTATTCCTATTCAATATACTCGCAAAAATACAGTAGACGAAACAATATTCGAATATAATTTTCCAATGTTCTAGCGACCCTGAACCATGTAAAGAAAACCTTGGAGTTTGTATTTCTTAGAACGCGAGTACGCGACGTGTATGTATTATATAGAAATCTATTATCGAGCTCAGTTCAAGAATTAGAGAACAACATATTGATGTCCTAAAAATGTTGAATCAACAACTTCGAGATTAGCAACCAAAAGTTCTCGCAGCCATAAAGAATGAAAGGAAATCTCTTCTATAGACTAGTTCATGTTAAGCAATTTTATTTTATATTTCGTTGGCTTACTTTTAATTAAAATTTACAATTACATGGTGGTAATTCAGGAATAATCTATATACAGCAGCCGGATTGTAGGGAAAATGTTATAAAGACGCACATGGTACAAAAAAAAAAAAAAAAAAAAAA